TAAAAATGTATACAATGGAATATTACTCAGCCATCAGAAAGGATGAATACCCACCTTTTGCACCAACATGGATGGAACTGGAGGGGATTATGCTAAGTGAAATAAGTCAAGTAGAGAAAGACAATTATCATATGGTTTCACTCATAAGGAATAGAGCAGAGGACCACAGGGGAAGGGAGGGAAAACTAAATGGGAGGAAATCAGACAGGGAGACAAGCCATGAGAGACTCTGGACTCTGGGAAACAAACTGAGGGTTACAGAAGGGAGGGGATGGGGGGATGGGGTGACCGGGTGATGGGTATTAAGGAGGGCACATGTTGGGATGAGCACTGGGTGTTATACACAATTAATGAATCACTGAACACTACAACAAAAACTTATGATGCATTATATGCTGGCTAACTGAACATAATAAAAAAAGAAAAAAAAGAAATGTTAAGAGATTTCTGTATGTTGATTTTATATCCTGTGACTTTACTGAACTCATGTATCAGTTCTTTTGTTGTTGTTGTTTCAAGGTTTTATTTAAATACTAGTTAGTTAACATATAGTGTAATATTGGTTTCAGGAATAGAATTTAGTGATTCATCACTTATATATAACACCCAGTGCTCATCACAAGTGCCCTCCTTAATACCCAGCACACATTTAGTCCATCATCTGCCCATCTCCCATCCAATATTCCTCAGTTTGCTCTCTATAGTTAATAGTTTCTTATGGTTTGCTTCTCTCTTTTTTGTTTTCTTCCTTCCCCTATGATCATCTGTTTTGTTTCTTAAATTCCACATATGAGTGAAATCATATAGTATTTGTCTTTCTCTGACTGATTTCTTTTGCTTAGCATAATACACTCTAGCTCCATAAACATCATTGCAAATGGAAAGATTTCATTCTTTTTCATGGCTGAGTGATATTCCATATATATATATATATATATATAATATCCATATGTATTGGAATATACAGATACATATATATCTATACAATATATACAATGTCTTCCTTATCAGAACTTAATCGAACTTGTGTATCAGTTCTAACAGTTTTTTTTTTTTTTGGTGGAGTCTTTTGGGTTTTCTATATAGAGTATCATGTCTTCTGCAAATAGTGAATGTTTGAGTTCTTCCTTGCAGATTTGGATATCTTTTATTTCTTTGTGTTATCTGATTGCTAAGGTTAGGACTTCCAGTACTATGCTAAATAACAATGGTGAGAGTGGACATCCCTGTCTTATTCCTGACTATAGAGGAAAAGCTCTTGGTTTTTCCCCATTGAGGATGATATTAGCTGTGGGTCTTTTGTATATGACCTTTATGATGTTCAGGTATGTTCTAGCCCTACATGGTGGAGGGTTTTTATCAAGAATGGATGTTGTATTTTGTCAAATGCATTATCTGCATCTATTAAGAAGATCATATGGTTCTTATCCTTCCTTTTATTAATGTGGTGTATCACACTGATTGATTTGCAAATATTGAACCACCTCTGCAACCCAGGAATAAAACCTACTTGATCATGGTGAATGATTCTTCTAATACACTGTTGGATTCAATTTGCTAGTATCTTTTTTTTTCACTTTGAACTATTAATGACTTTTTCTAATTTGGAGATATAACAAAGCACAACTGTATGAACACATAAACTACATTTTAAAACATAAGCAAAACATGCATAAACTGGCCACTTTAATTAAAGCAGTCCTGAAATCTTTACAAATGTAATAATTATTAACATAATGAGATGTCTGTGACAACCATAATTAATGCCACGTTTCAAATTTGAGAAAGATAGGATACAAAACTTTATTATTTTTCCCCTGAAACTACCAGTCTACAGTTGATAAAACTGTACTTGGAAATATTTCACTGCTCCAGGAGATTCATTTTTTTATTCATCTCAGAGGTAGAGTTTAGTGATTCATCAGTTGCATATTACACCCAGTGCTCATTACATCAAGTGCCCTCCTTAAATACCCATCACGCAATTATCCCTTCCTCCCACCCACCTCCCCTCCAGCAATCCTGTTTATTTACTAGAGTTCGGCATCCTTTATGGCTTGCCTCCCTCTCAATTTTCAACTTATTTCATTTTTCCTTCCCTTCCTCTATATTTATTTGTTTTGTTTCTTAAATTCCACATGAGTGAAATCATATGGCATTTGTCTTTGACTGACTTATTTCACTTAGCATAATACCCTCTAGTTCCATCCCTGCCATTGCAAATGGCAAGATTTCATTCTTTTTGATGACTGATATTCCTTGCGTGTGTGTGTGTGTGTGTGTGTGTGTGTGTGTGTGTGTGTGTGTGTGTGACATCTTTATCCATTCAACTGTCAATGGGCATCTGGGCTCTTTCCATATTGCTTAGTATCTTGTTGAGAATTTTTGCATTCATGTTCATCAGGGATATTGACCTCTAATTCTCCTTTTGAGTGGAGTTTTAGTCTGGTTTTGGAATCATGGTAATGCTGGCCTCATACAATGAGTTTGGAAATTTTCCTTCCATTTCTTTTTTTTTTTTTTTTTTGGAACTGTTTGACAAAATATGTATTAGCTCTTCTTTAAATGTTTGGTAGAATTCCCCTGGGAAGCCATCTGGCCCTGGACTTTTGTGCATTGGGAGAGTTTCGATTACTGATTCCATTTCTTTGCTGGTTATCAGTCTGTTCAAATTTTCTATTTCTTCCTCTTTCAGTTTTGGAGTTTGTATGTTTCTAGGCATTTATCCACTTCTTCCATATTGCTCAATTTGTCGGTATATATTTTATAATATTCTCTTATAATTGTTTGTATTTCTGTAGTGTTGCGACTTCTCCTCTCTCATTTGTGATTTTATTTATTTGGGTCCTTTCTCTTTTCTTTGTGATAAGTCTGGCTAGGGGTTGATCAATTTTATTAATTCTTTCAAGGAACCAGCTCCTGGCTCATTGATCTATTGTACTGGGTTGTTGTTGTTGTTGTTGTTACTTTCTCTATAGTTTATTTCTGCTCTAGTCTTTATCATTTCCCTTCTTCTGCTGCCTTTAGGCTTCATTTGTTGTTCTTTTTCTAGCTCCTTTAGGTGTAAGGTTAGGTTGTGTATTTGAGATTTTTCTTGCTTCCTGAGGTAGGCCTATACTGCTATATAGTTCGCTCTTGTGACCACTTTTCCTACATCCCCCAAATTTTAGACCATTGTTTTCATTTTCATTTGTTTCCATGTATTTTTACATTTCTGCTTTAATTTCTTGGCTGACCCATGGATTCTTTAGTAGCATGTTGTTTAACCTCCATGTATTTGTGGTCTTTCCAATTTTTTCTTGCGGTTGGCTTCAAATTTCAGTGTTGCAGTCAGAAAATATGCATGGTATGATCTAAATCATTTTGTACTTGTTGAGGCCTCATTTGTGACCCAGTATGTAATCTAGTCTGGAGAATGTCCCATGTGCACTTGAAAAGAATGTGTATTCTTGCTGCTTTAGGATGAAATGTTCTAAATATATCTGTTAAATCCATCTGCTCCAGTGTGTCATTCAAAGCCATTGTTTCCTTGTTGATTTTATGCTTACAACATCTGCCCATTGCTGTATGTGGGGTGTTAAAGTCCCCTACTATTATTGTATTATTATCAATGAATTCCTTTATGTTTGTTATTGTTTTATATATTTGGGTGCTCCTTAGTTGGGGGCATAAATATTTACAATTGTTAGATCTTGTTAGTTAGGCCCCTTTATTATGATATAGTGCCCTTCTTCATCTCTTGTTACAGTCCTTGATTTAAAATCTACTTTGTCTGATACAAGTATGGCTACTCTGGATTCATTTTGATGTCCATTAGCATGATAAATTCTTCTCCATCCCCTCACGTTCAATCTGTAGGTGTCTTCAGATCTAAAATGAGTCTCTTGTAAGCAACGTATAGATCGGTCTTTTTTTTTTCTATCCATTCTGACACTCTGTCTTTTGATTGGAGCATTTAGTCCATTTACATTCAGAGTAATTATTGTTAGATATGAATTTAGTGCCATTTTGTTACTTGTTTTGTCATTGTTTCTGCAGATATTTCTCTGTTCTTTTCTAGTCTTTGTTACTTTTGGTCTTTCCTTCCCATTCAAAGAGTCCCCTTTACTATTTCTTGCAGTGCTGGTTTAGTGAGAATTAACTCCTTTAGTTTTTGTTTGTCGAAGAAACTCATCTCTCCTTCTATTTTGAATGATAGCCTTGCTGGATAAAGTATTCTTGGTTGCAGATTTTTCCCATTTAGCACATTGAATATGTCATGCCACTTCCTTCTGGCTTGCCAAGTTTCTGCAGAGAGAACTGCAGCCAGCCTTATGGTCTTCCCTTGTAAGTTAGGGCCTTCTTTTGTCTTCCTGCTTTTAGGATATTTTTCTTTATCACTATATTTTGCAAATTTTACTACAATATGTCTTGGTGTTGGTCTGTTTTTGTTGATTTTGATGGGAGTTCTCTGTCCTCCCTTGATTTGGATACCTATTTTCTTCAACAGATAAGGGAAGATTTCAGGTATTAGTTCCTCAAATAGACCTTCTGTCCCCTTTTCTCACTCTGTCTCTTCTGGGACTCCTATGATTAAGAATGTTATTGCCTTTGATGGAGTCACTGAGTTCCCTAAGTGTACTCTGGTGATCCATAATTTTCTCTTTGTTCAGCTTCATCATTTTCCATAATTGTCTTCTATATTACTTATTCATTCCTCTGCTCTTTCCATTCTTCTTGTCATTACTCAGTCGGTTTCAAATTTCATTGCATTTTTCATTTCTACCTGATTGTTTTTTAGCTCTTTGATCTCTACAGTAAGAGTCTCCCTGATATCTTCCAAGCTCTTCTAAAGACCAGAGGGTATCCTTATGATTATTGCTTTAAATTCTCCATCAAGCATATTACTTATATCTGTTTTGATTAGTTCTCTCACCATGACTTTTTCTTGTTCTTTCTCTTGGGATGAAGTCCTCCATCTTGGCTTTTTGGCTAGGTCTTTGTCTTTTTCTCTGTGTTAGAAAAGCCTGTTATGTTTCCTATTCCTGAAAGTACTGGCTTTATGAAGAAGAGGTCATATAGTGTCCAGATCCTAGCATTTCAGGAAGTGTCTGTGGTAGGTGCTGCAGGTACTCTGCTGCTGTGTTTTGACTGCTCTGTCCCTCAGGTGAGTCATCTGCAGAGGTTCTCCTTGCCTGCAGTAGGCACTGTTTGGATCTTGGCCAGAGTGTGATGAGTTTTGACCAGGTGTGGGCTGGTCTGCTTCTTAAGTGAGACCTGATGCTACTTCTGCTAGAACTGAAGGCTTGCAGGACTCTATGGCCAGTAGACATGGTGCATGCAGAGCTTTCTGTTGATTTTCTAGGGAAGGGTCCTTCGCTGGTCCTCAAACACACTTGCCCAAGAAAAGCAGTACCAGTAGAGGGAAGATGGTGGAGGAGTAAGAGACCCTGTTTCAACTGGTCACCTGAATTTAGCTGTTATCTAGCAAACCATTCTGAACACACACAAAATCAGCCTGAGATATAAGAATATATATCTGGATCTCTACAAGCAGAAAAACTCTGCCAGACACGAGGTATGAAGGGCAGAGTCGTGAATATGCAGGGAGATATTGGAGGATAAGCAGACGAGGGAGGGAGCCGCTATAAGCTGGATTCTGGGAAGTGATATAACACGAGAGCACAAAGGCATCCTGTGCTGGGGACTGGCACAAACCTGCAAAGCAGTAGTGGCTGGGAAGGCCTTTAGAGCAGCACCCAGACAGGATCCAGCTGCACACGTGTGAACCCGGGGTGGCTCGTGGTTTTAGAAGAACAAAGGGCAGAGACTTGCCCAGGCCTTGGGGTCGACCTCTGGAGAGTTGCTGTGGGTGTGCACTACGGTAGGAGTCTGTGTTTTTCAGCAGCGCATACACAAACAGAGACTGTGTGTCCTGGAGGGCTCAGTGAAGAGCAGACTAAAATTTCTCTACTCTGGGAGAGGTTTGGTGAGGCCATTTTTCTCTGACTCTCGGAAGACATGCAGAAAGCTGCCAGAGAACAAAAGCTCAAAAAACCAGTTTCCAGAAGGGAGCAAGATGGCGGAGGAGTAGGAGACCTGGATTTTGTCTGGTCTCAGGAATTCAGCTGGATAGGGATCAAAGCATTCCGAACACCTACGAATTCAACAGGAGATCGAAGAAAAGAATAGCAACAACTCTCTGAACAGAAAAACAACCACTTTCTGGAAGGTAGGACGTGCGGAGAAGTGAATCCGAGACAATATTCGGGAGGATAGATGGCGGGGGCGGGAGCTCCGTCGGCTGCTTCTGGCAAGTGATAGAGCAGGGGAGCACAAAATTGGAACTTTTAGAAGTCGGCTCCGCTGAGGGACGTCGCTCCAGTGGCTAAGCGGGGGGTGGAACCCTCACAGGACAGTGTGGTCTCAGGACACTCGGGGTCACAGAAAGACCAGGGGTGCCTGAGTGCAGCAGAGCTCCGGGGTATCAGGGAGGGGAAGCTGGCTGCAGAGACGGAGCTAAGGTGCAGGGTCTCAGCTCGGGGTTGCCATAAACTGATTGGTGACAGTAGGACAACTGCTCCCCCAGCAGGGACCCAACAAGTGGCAGATCCGGGGAGACTCCCCTTCCTCCCATGGGAGGAGCGGCGCGGGACCGCACCTCAGGGATCTGTTGAGTTTGGAGACTCCACACGGGGTCAGGTGCCAGAGATAGAAACGCTCGGTCACAAGCCGGGTGAGCACGGAGTGCGGCCCGAGACAGGGGAGACGGGAGTGACTGACTGCTATTCTCTGGGGACGCACTGAGGAGCAGGGCCCCGAGTTCTCGGCTCCTCCTGTGTGGAGATTGGGAGGCCGCCATTTTCACTCTTGTCCTCCAAAGCTGTACAGAAAGCTTGCAGAGAACAAAAGCTCCCGAGAGCAAACCGGAGCAGATTGCTTAGCCTGGCCTAGCAAGGCCAGGGCAATTCCGCCTCCGGGAAAGACATTTGGGAACCACGGCAACAGGCCCCTCCCCCAGAAGATCAGCATGAACAGCCAGCCAAGACAATTTACCGATCAAAGAGAATGGGAGAACTCCAGACCTAGGGGAATACTGCACATAGAATTCATGGCTTTCTTACTATGATTCATTAGTCTATCAAAGTTAATTTTTTTAACTGTCTGGTTTTTTTTGAATTTTTCTTTTTCCCTTTTTGAACCAACATCTTATCAATCACTTTTTTTAAAAAATTTTTTTATTTTTCATTTTTAGAGTCATATTCTATCCCATCATAGTAGTTACCCTTATTTTTGGCATATATATACAAGTTGTTCCCTCTTTAAAATTTTGAGATACACTTTCTTCTAACAGATCAAAAAATACCCTAAATCTCTAGTGTATGGGTTTGTTCTAGTCTCCTGCCTGATCACATTCTCTCCCCTTTTTTGTCTTTCTTTTTTTTTAAATCCTCTTCTTTCTTTATCCAAACACCTTCTTATCAATTCCTTTTTTAAAAATTTTTATACTTTTTATTCCATCCCTTCATCATATCACCCCTTATTTTGTACATATTTAAGTCTTTCTTTAAAATTCTTTAAAATTTTAGGAGGTACTTTCTTCTAACAGACTAAAATACACCCAAAATCTAGTGTGTGGCACTGATCTAAGTTCCAGCCTGATCATATTTGATCATATTCTGTTTTTTTTGTTTTGTTCTGTTTTTGTTTGTTTTTATTTTTTTCTTTTTTTGTTTCCCTTTCTTTTATCTTTCTTTCCCTTTCTTTTCCCCTGGTTTCAGATCTTTTCTGATTTGTTTAGAGTATATTTCCTGGGGATGTTGTTAACCTGTTAGCATTTTGTTCTCTCATTCATCTATTCTCCTCTGGACAAAATGACAAGACGAAAAAAATCACCACAACAAAAAGAACAAGAGGTAGTACCGTCTGCCAGGGACCTACTCAATACAGACATTAGTACAATGTCGGACCTAGAGTTCAGAATCATGATTTTAAAGATACTAGCTGGGCTTGAAAAACGCATGGAAGTTGTTAGAGAAACTATTTCTGGAGAAATAAAAGAACTAAATTATAACCAAGTCGAAATCAAAAAGGCTATTAATGAGGTGCAATCAAAAATGGGGGCACTAACTGCTAGGATAAATGAGGCAGAAGAGAGAATCAGCAATATAGAAGACCAAATGATGGAAAATAAAGAAGGTGAGAAAAAGAGAGATAAACAACTACTAGATCATGAGGGCAGAATTCGGGGAGATAAGCGATACAAAAAGACGAAACAACATCAGAATACTTGGGATCCCAGAAGAAGAAGAAAGAGGGGCAGAAGGTATATTGGAGCAAATTATAGCATAGAACTTCCCTAATGTGGGGAAGGAAACAGGCATCAAAATCCAGGAGGCACAGAGAACCCCTCTCAAAATCA